GAAACGTATGGGAGATAATTTTAAAGAATGTAAATTGGTTAAATGATTTACACTATTGTTGACATTTATTTACAACAAGTAATTTTATTTATTTGTTTGGGGTATGGTTGGAGTCTCGCGAATCAGAATTCGCGACAAATGCTACTCTGAACAAAACACCTCCTAAAAATAAGCCTCGGCAGGTTTTCTTTTTTTTGGGGGGGGAGGTAAGGAGGTAGAGAGAGAGAGAGAGAGAGAGAATATAAGGCTCTACCCTACTTTTTTCTGTCTTATTTCCGGGAGAATCCGGTATTACTTGGAAACTAACCAAGACATTCCTTTTCATACTGACCCTATAAAAAAAAGCTTCTCTATCAATCGGTAATATCGAGAGAGCTAAGGGTTGTGCGGTGGTGGAGAAGTATGACATTTTCAAACTGTCTGGAAATATCTCCTTAGAAGTTGACTTTTTATTGATTGTTTTATCTTGTTTCATTTGAACTGTGTTGTATTATTTATAAGAGTAGCCATTGGTATTGATGTTTTATGTTTTAGGTCAGAGGAATGAGTCGATTGATTGTTAAAGGGTTGCCATCGAATTGTACCGAAGAAAAGCTACGGGATCACTTCGGCAGTTTTGGAACAATCACTGATTGCTCACTGAAATACACCATAGATGGGAAATTTCGTCGTTTTGCATTTGTTGGATTCGAAACGGATGGAAATGCCCAGAAAGCACGTGAGAATCTGCACAACACATTTATGGGAGCATCGAGATTGACGGTGGAAATTACATCATATTTTTTTTTAAGTTAGCTGACATTGTCGTAGCGAATTTTTATGACAATCAGAATGTAAATCTATTTTCGGGCTAAGTTATTACTGCTTTGGGATTGAAGTTATATCGCTTGAATATATTGGGATTTAGGAATAGTTGTGTTCGAAGATTGGAAATTTTCTAATTGCATCTTGCTTCACTCTTTTAACGGGTTGTTGTTTTATGGTTATTATACTCTTGCAAGTAAAATTACGAAGTACTGTTTTTGTTCCGTAATCCTTCCGTAAAATGATTCTCCTTCCAGGTAGAAGAGTGTAAGCCGTTTGGTGACGACACAAAGCCAAGAGCATGGAGTAAATATGCAAAAGGAAGCAGGTAATATAGCAGTATTCCTACGGAAGTTTAATTTTTTCTTTTTTTAATTTAATTTACAAAGTTCCTTATCAAGGTAACCATGCCCTCTGCAAAGAAATATTTATTTATTGTTCTTTTGCTTTTTTTTAATGGGTTTTGGCATTCGTAGTGCTTACAAACGTTTGCATCCTGAAGAAGAAGAGGAAAAAACGAAGGAGATCGTTTCAGTAAAGGATAGTTCACCATCGCCCAAGAAAATGAGAAACGAAAACGATGAAGAATTTCATGATTTCATCCAAGTGCAGAAGGTTGATACTTTTTGAAGAGTTAATTTCTTTTTGTTAAAACTTTTCCCCCATTTATTTATATTCGAAATTATGAATGTTGTGCATTTTTGAATGAACAGATCAGAAGTAGTCGATAGGGGCATAAAAAATATTTTTGCTTATTTTTTGAATTCTTGGATTTCCAATTTCGTTTCCGGTTTTAAGCAGCCTTGCTACTCTTGAGTAGTTTTCGAAACTCGTGATTTTTTTCAGTCGGTTTAAGCTTTCACTTCCATTGTCTTGGAATTTTTTCGCTTGCATTTTGCTTATATTCAGGGCGCACCGCCAACTGCTAGTAGCAGCAATGACGAAAGCAGTAACAACAGTCTAATGGAAGAGTTACTATCTGGAATCAGCGGTAAGTTTTTGGAGTGGACGAATGGTTGTTAGTAAAGCTACAGTTTTAGTACAAAATAAAACTTTAGGTTTCCTTTTGTTTTACATAGAACAGTCAGAGCTTTCACTCGCTGTTCTTTAATGGTGATTCTTTTGCGTCCGAAACACACATAAGCCTGTCAAGGAGGACTTACAATATCAACCGTTTAACTTTAGTTCATTTATTATTTAAGCTTTTGATAGTTCTTACTGCTCATTTCTAGCCAGCTGTCACTCGCATTTTCATGGCATGTTTGGAACTTTCAGAAATTTTTCATGTGTAATATTAATCGTCGAATGTCCCTACACAAGCGGGTGGACTGAATTAAATTTCTTTTGAAATTTTAAATAATTCCTTGGTATTGATTCATTCAATTATTGAAGCAGAGAAATACCATTTTAAATGTTTGTATATGTATGCCAATTTTTACAGTTCATTTTAAAAACTCTTCAAAAGTTTGGTGATTGTAAAGTAGAAGTATCATATAGGATGAATGTTGCTGTGTTTTATTTGCTTTTCATTCTTTTAAAGCTTTTTTATTGCCTCTAATAATTATGTAAAAGACGTTATCCATGATTTATTGTTGGATGGCATGTGAAAGTTTGTTAAGAAAGATGGAAATGCTTACATCATCAGCTTTTAAGTAGTTATCTGAGCGACCATGATAATTTATTTCCACGAATGCTGTAGTATTGTTCCTTTTTTAATTATTGCACAAATTATTTGCAGGAAACACATCTTTATCGCTGATAATAAGTGGTTTTCCAAGAACTGTTAAAGCGAAAGGGATCAAAGATTGGTTCAGTCCTATCAAGTTGAAAGGAATAAAAATTTCACGTGGCTCAACTGAAGCTATTGCTTTTGTAACGTTTTTTCAACAGTCTGATGTGAGAAAAGCACTGCGACGGAATGGACAGTTTTTCGGTGGTTCTAAGGTTCGTTCTGTTAAATGAACTTATTAATATTTGTTCCTGATTCTATTGAAGCATATTTGGTGTTTCCAGTAATTATATAAAAAACATAATGTATGATTTGTTATTAAATAGCATATGAATGCTATAAAAAAAGATGAAAAAAGATTTTTCCAATCCATTTATTGCAAGTAAGCATATCATTGATTCAGGTATTTTTTTTTTAAGCTGGAAGTAACGAAAGTATCAAGTAATCGAGTTTCTGATGACGGTATGGAAGATTATATTCACAAGACAAGAGAAGCAGAAGTTGAAGCATCGGTAGCAAAGATCCTTGAAACTGGAAGGTTAATTTACTTTTTTATCTTGATTACAATGTGTATTACATTGCACGATTAGAATTGTACTTTGAGATAGAGATCTCATCTCTTATAAAAATATTATATTTATTCAAGATTTTCAGACTCTTCGTCCGAAATCTGCCTTATGTCTGCAGTGATGAAGACCTGCGGTACCTGTTTAAAAAGTATGGTGAAATATCCGATTTACAAGTGATTATTAGCAAAAAAACAGGTCAATGTAAAGGATTTGCTATTGTCACATATGTTTTTCCAGAATCTGCAGTTGCAGCGTTTTCAGCATTAGATGGTTCAATTTTAAAGGTTAATTAAAAATTTTAAAGGTTGAAACCTCTTACAGGTCAACAATTTTAAAGGTTAAAATAAAAGAATGACGAATGCGTCATTCCTTTTTTTTTACCTGAATTTCATAGCTGTTATTGACTGGTTTATGATTCTCCCTTTTGCTCCACTTATTTAGCTTTTCTCCAAAGTCGGAACTTTTTATTTTGTTCTGGTTGACTTTCAGGGAAGAATGCTTCACATTTTGCCTGGAGAAGAAAAGCGTGAGGTGGAAGAGACTGGCATCACTGGTAAATCGGCGTTTCAGAAAGCGAAATTTGCAAAACTCAAAGTGTTTTTCTTGGAAAATATTCATCAACTAGCTTATATTACGTAGTTCGATATAGTTATTTGCGTAAGGCATATCATAATTTTTTAGAAGGATGCTGGAAAGTCTCACTCGTGGAACACATTGTTCCTTGGAGCTAATGCAGTTGCTGAAACGTTGGCTGAAAAACTGGATGTTGAAAAAAGTGATTTGCTGCTTGGACAAGGAGAAATAGGGTACATTTCCGTTCATACTGCAACGGTGAACAAGCAGTTTCTGGATTACTCTTAGTTATCAGAAAATTGAGAATCTGTTTAATATAATCCTATGAGCTAGTTGTTGTGAATAGGAAGAAAAGGAATAAATGTGATCAACATATAGTTAACTCATGTTGTGAACCATTCATTTTGCAGCTAGAAAAATAAAGAGATCAAGTTTGTCAGAACCCTTTAATCTTTTTTTAATAATTTAACAGTCCTGGTGTACGCCTAGCACTTGCGGAAACACGTCTAGTCAATGAAACTCGGGAATATCTACTGGCTAATGGTGTCTGTTTGGATGTTTTCTCAAGGCCTGCAGCAAAACGAAGTAATACTGTGATTATCATCAAAAATTTAACGACCAAGGTTGATATTGATGAATTAAAACGAATGTTCGCGAGGCACGGTCCCGTAAAGCAATTACTGATGCCTCCCGGTAAGCTGAAAAATGGTATTCAGTATGAATTAAGCGTTAGATCTTTTTTTAATGAGAGAAATAAATTCTTCAAACGATAAGTTTATTACTGATGTTTCAGTAAGAAATAAATTCTTCAAACGATAAGTGTATTACTGATGTTTCAGTAAGCGTTCTGGTTCCGCACATTTAATTCAATTTTAGAATCAAATACTTCTTAAAAATCTGGGTTACTTGTAGGGAGTGTTACTGCTATCTTGGGAATGAAAAATTCATTGATGCTCAGAAAGCGTTTAGCACGCTTGCATACACTCTTGGTGATCTTCATTGTGTCTGGTAGCCGTGTCTGAAGTAATATTGCCAACTGAAGTAGTTTTGCGTCGCGCAACTAGTGATTTCTGAAATTAACTTTCCACATACTTAATCCAGATTTTAGAATCAAATGCTTCTTAAAAATCTGAGTTACTTGTAGGGGGTATTACTGCTATCTTGGAGATGGAAAATTCTATTGATGCTCAGAAAGCGTTTAGCACGCTTGCATATACTCGATTTCGGTCTCAGCCGTTGTTCCTTGAATGGGCTCCGTATGATTTGTTTAAATCAGGTTTGTTGATTTTGAAAGATTCCAGTAAATTTTAATAATTTACTATAGAATTGATTCTTTGCAAAATAAAAAGATCATTCCTTCTTTTCCTTCCTACTTGTTTCCAGGAAAATTAGAAAGCAAAGATGAAGATAAAAGCCAGAAACAGCATAGTCTTGAAGTTCAAACTGAAAGGAATGATAATGAATTCTCAGCAGAAGATAAGAAGAAGCTGAGACGAAGCAAGAAGCACCAATTGATCAAAGAACCTACGGAAGTTGCAGAATCACAAAAAAAAGGCACGAAAACTTTAGTAAAGGATGTACTAATGTCCCCTCAAGAATGGTGGGAAATGGTGAATAAAATCAATTAAAGGACTGTTTGTTTTGATAGGTGCATTATGATTAGTTTTCTTCCGACTTAGAATGTTTTGCCTTCAGACTTCAAAAACAGTCCCCAAATCTAATTATTTATTATATTTCGTTTCTAGCTAATGTAGAGGAAAAATTCTTATGGCTGTCCAGAGATATATTTGCATTCTGTTTATTAATTAGATTTTATGAAAAGTATAGTTTGCATACGAACACTTGGCAAACCATGCCTGTCTTAGGCGCCCTTAAGTTTGCATTTAAAGATTTGAAAAAAAAGTGTAGCCATACCATCAAGTTATTGTTTTCAGCTGAATCGGTTAAAACAATCAATGAAACAATAGCGAGAGATGGAGACATGCAGCAACGAGCTGAAGTAGAAAAGTATATGGCTGAAATTAGAAATGAAGACAGCAATGATGATGCTGAAGAGGAAGATGACCGATTGCTGCCAGGAACGACATTATTTGTAAAGAATTTGAGCTTCAAAACAACTGACGAAGGGCTAAAGAATAAATTTGAATCACGATTTCGAATACGATCTGCTACCGTCTCCAAAAAGCGAGGTGATTTTTTTTTCAATATTATAATATTTGGAATGCTATGGAAATAGCTTTATCCGACGATGTAACTAGAATTATTTTTGCTGCTGTGTTTTGCTATGAAGTACCGCTCAAACAAGGATTATTCATTATAGCTTTTTTTTAAAATCATTATGTTTTTAAGCAAATGTTTAAAAGCTGCACATCGTTTTTTGGTTAGTATGAAAAATATTAAGCAGAATAATATCCACATTTCATTTTTTAACGCGTATTTGCCATGGTAACAAATACTGCGCTAGCAGTGCAATGAAGCACTGCATATGTGTTTTAAAATTTCTGGAACTCTTTCAGATGCCGTAGATCCGACGAAAGCACTCTCAATGGGATTTGGTTTTATTACGTTCTATCAGCCAGAGGATGCGCAACAAGCTATAAAGGAAATGCAGGTCCGTTTGTGGAAAACTTTTATATGATAATTTTCGTAGCTAAAAGGAAATGTTCAGAAATTTTTTTAGTTACAAGCTCAACTGTGCTATTTCTATTTTGTTTGTTTTATTTTCAGGGTGTTTTATTGGATGGTCATTGCTTGATGCTGAAATTATCTCACAGAGAAGTTGTACCTGATAAGATTACAGCAAGAAAAGGAGTTGTTGAGTTGGAGCAAGGCGAAGCTACCAAAGTAATTTTGGTTTAATTGAATTCCATTTATGGAATTGGTTTCATTTAGTTCGCTTTTAACAAAAGGACAACCATACTATGTCTCCTTTTTAATTATTATAACTGGGCATCACTCATTACCTAACTTGATAAGATTACAATATCTGATCGTTTAAACTCCTCAGTGGTCCAATCATTACAGTTGTCTCGTGAAGTGATTTCCAATGCAATTATCGCATGCAGAACTATTACAGGGCAACCTATATGGCACGAGATGAGCTGGAATGGGAAATCGAGCAACTGAGACATCAAAA